TCCTCCTCAGTGCAGGCTGGGTGCAGGGTGGCACGAGCAGGATTGCTTTGGGTGTCACTCACCACTGATTGTGCATACTGTCTGTAGTCCTGGTTGTTGATGATGTATTATTATTATTGATTATGTTTATAATCAATTATTTGGCTGCTATACATTTCCAACTTGATATTCCACTTCGTTGAGCTATCATTTGTGATCCAGGTCGCTTCTGAAAAATAACGAATAGCTCAGCGGGCTTTACCTGGTAAAAGAAAACATTGTTTACCGTTTTAGTTTAATTATTTTTGTTTAGTGATAGGCTTATATTTCCTATACTTTGCACTCCTGTCGTTTTTATATTCTTTGTTGCTATAACTTTCTGACCTGCCCCTACTGAACATTTGTAAAAACAAAAAGCGCTTCATAGCTCATCGGATTTCTCCAGGATAAATAAAGATTATCATTCTGATATAATATTTCACTGAATTTGTTTTACGCATCATTCCCCTACAAAACCCGCCCTCCCCATAACAACAAGCTCAGCCCTGTTGGCCAGGTCGACAATCGGCCTTACCCGAAATAAACCTGCTGAAAAACGTTGCCACTCATGGATGCAATCGGGTCCACATCCCATTGCAGAACCCTCCTGCAAAAGTATTGAGACTCATTGAGGCGTTCCTCGGGTTAACCATGGGCCCTAGGTAGTGTATCGTGGCTATGTCACAGGGCCCTCTGCAGTGTGAGTCAACATGCAGATGGGTACCTTTCTTCTTCACACCCCGAACCGTCAATGCACACATTTGCATCACCACCACGAGGTTGACACCCAATTATTCAATTGAATGTCTGAGGAGACAGCGATTGTGTGAAAATACACCTGCAATCCGATATCGATTGTTGTGGACAATACCTCGTTATTAGTTTGTCATTGTCTGTCGGGGGCCAAAAAGGGGCGTTTGTTACACACCTGCCACACTCGCGTATGCTGTATTATCATGGTAGGCATAACAAAGATGTTTAATTAGCAGCAGGCATGTTACATGGAATGTATAGCATTTAGAGCACAGAGGGGTGTGTGTGTGTGTATATACTATGTTTAGCGGTAGTGTAGCGGTGAGCACGCTACGCTACGAACCTGGTGACCCGAGTTCGATTTTTCACGCTCATGGCCAACACCAATAGTCTGTCTTTATTATTATTACAAAAGTAACGTAATACTACACTTTTATCATTGCAAAAGTAACGTTATACTAGACTTTTATTATTACAAAAGTAACGTTATACTAGGCTTTTTATTATTACAAAAGTAACGTTATACTAGACTTTCAGTCCTTTGTCAACCCACGACTAGTTGAAGGCCTATCCTAATGCCTTTTAGTCATGGGGGTTGTTTGACCATACTTCACCACGCTAGTGAGTGCAGATGTTGGTAAGAGGTTGGGGGAAGGTAGGGAGAAGGGGTGGCTGAACCGGATCCAACAGCAATCGCCACTGATGATTTGAGCGCCATGAACTGGGCAGATAGAGCGCTAACCATTGCCCCACCGCTCCACCCGATCACTGTCATACACAGTGCACACCATTGGCTTTTACAGCGGCTTACAAGGGTTTAAATGAAAAGCATGCCATCCATCAGCAGTAGTGAGACCGGCTGTCTCGTTAATTTTAATGGGAATGACATTTTGACTTTTAAGGCTTGAAACGTGGAAGCGTCAAATCTCCAACACCACCCTGCAGGAGTGGCTTGGCATGAACTTGCTGCGGTGGTTCACGCTCGTGGATTCATTTTCCTTTTATTTAACCAAAAACTGACGATCTGTTCAGATTATTGAGACCGCGTTACCGAACAGCAGCGGCTGCTTATTTGTATATGTACGTGGAGATTTGTGTTTATCTGAGGTTTGATTGATTTAAAATCTCAGTTTTGTGCTATGAATTCCTTTAAATTACATGACAATAACACGGATTAATGATAACTTAAAACACTCGCATATGATTTGCCCATTTCATCACAACAAGCCGATGTGTGCGCACACACAAATACAAAGATACCCCGTGTATCCATAACAAACTTTTGGGGCAAGTGCTGTTAAGTGAAGTCCGCCACGGCGCACGAGGAGGTGAATGGCCAGCACCACGCCCGGCCGCCTTTGTCTCCCTAGTGGCGACGTTTACACACCGCATCAGATACTCATTTGAGGCTGAGCCGACCTAGTGAAGGCCCAGGACCGGTTCAGATAATTATCGTCACTGGTGTTAGCCGTGACCAGGAATCAAATGTGCTAACCGCTGCACTACCGCTCCTCCCCACACACACACATAGAGGGCATTTTAAATTTAAGGAAAACCAGTGTGAAGTGTGTGGTCAAATTAGCCCCAACGACTCACACGGCCCGGGGAGGGAGGCCTTCATCCAGCAGTGGACTGACACGATAGCTGTACACGTACACGTGGTCTATAGATATGATTCAGATTCAGGTAGACACCACACCCACAGGAAGCTGTCCGCCTGATAGCATTTGAGAAGATTCCCTAACCCGAACCCCATATCCAACCCATCCTCTTGTGCACGGCCATCTCAATCACAGAGACGTCAGCTCAACACACGGTCAGCTCCGCACACGTATTGGCTTTGTTTTTCTCAGAATCGTCCAGAGCATAGACATTGCTTAAATCTGTTCCAATATGCACAAAAACAAAGATCCCCCATATAGCCATAAGATAATGTTGGGGAAAGTGTCTCCCCTGTACTGGTGTTTACACACCAGGTAGAGGTACTCATTTAAGGCTGAGTCGACCGAGATCATCAGGACAATCAGATTTCATAGAGACACACACAGACACTTCATACAAGTAAACACACGTCAATACATACACACATACATATACACACACATACATACACACACATACACACACATACATACACACATACACGCACATACACACACATAGACACATACACACACACATATACACATACACACACATACAAAAAACAAAGATCCCCCATATAGCCTTAACAGACTGTCGGGGCAAGTGCTGTTAGCGAGCACCTATGAAGGCCGGAACGGTACAAGAGGGGGTGGGTGGCCAGCACCACGCCCGACCGCCATTGTCTCCCTAGTGACAATGTTTACACACCGCACCAGGTACTCATTTGAGGCTGAGTCGACCTAGGGGAGGCCCGGGACCGGTTCAGATAATCGTCACACGTACACACACATACATACACACATACACACACATACATACAAAGATCCCCCGTATAGCCTTAACAGACTGTAGGGGCAAGTGCTGTTAGCGAGCACCTATGAAGGCCGGAACGGTACACGAGGGGGTGGGTGGCCAGCACCACGCCCGACCGCCTTTGTCTCCCCAGTAGCAATGCTTTTATCCACCGCACCAGGTAGTCATTCGAGGCTGAGTCGACCTAGGGGAGGCCCGGGACCGTTTCAGATAATCGTCACACATACACACACATACATACACACACATACACACATACACCCAAACACAGGGACATAAAAAGACTCAAACATAAACGGGACTCTCTTGAAAAAGAGTCGGAATACTCAGTGAGGCTTTCTCTTTTAAATAAAATACTTTTATAATAAGTACACAGAGAACACACACACTACAATTCACAGGCAAGACTAAAACAACGTGACCCCTGTAGCCGTAAACTAGCACCTATGCAGGCCGGGAGCGGCATACGAGGGGGTGGGTGGCCAACACCACGCCCGGCCGCCTTTGTCTCCCTAGCGGCGATGTTTACACATCGCAGCAGGTACTTATTTGAGGCTGAGTCGACCTAGGGGAGGCCCAGAACCGGTTAAGATCATCGTCACTGGTGTTGCCCGCGAGCGAGAATCGAACCCGGCTTGCCAGGTTCGTATCGCAGCGTAGCGCTAACCGCGCCACCACCGCTCCCTTCTGAGTCGATCTACAGACAAACAGAGGCATGCAATAAAAACCTGATCAAGGCTTGAGACTCTGAAGCTTCACTTGGTTAAATACATTATTTCATCAAAATCATTATGATATCACAATATCATTGCCCAAAGCTGAATAGGTACCCTAACCCAAAACAATAACCCGTTCAAACAAAAAAACAACAGTCCACCTTCGAGGAAAAAAAACATATCTGCTGCTGTGCAATGCTGTTGCTGTTTTATTTATATCGCACTCCACAAGAAGAAGATAACGAGGAGGACGAGGAGGACGACTCATCACGCCGCTGCCACGCCACGTGGTAGCAGCGCAAGCAGCCTCGCATCCGGACGACCCCAACGATTTCTCTCCACGGTGTCAAAAGGCATCACGGTGCAAAACTATGATCGCGTTACCAGTGCCTGCTTTTACGCATTTATGTCATACATTTAATGAGGGGGGGGGAGCGGTGGTGGAGTGGTTAGTGCACTGCACTATTAACCCGGCTTATTTGAACGTCGATTCCGGGCCACGGCTATAACCATCAGTGGAGCATGCTGTCTGAACTGGACCCACTCGTCACCAGCAGGCACTCACCGCGGTGATGGTGATGGTGGTGGTGTATGGCCAGCCAGCCCACCGGCCCACTCGCAACTCCGCCATCCCCCGAAGACTGCCCGCCCAAGCCGCTATCAAACCACGTACGGTTCTTCCAAGGTACAGGCCAAGTGTGGCACGGTCCCGTCGTCCTTGTGAGTCGAATTGCCACCGATACCCTCTTAAGGAGAACACGTACACGGGTGCCTGCGATGATGCGCTCAAGTCATAATATTATCGGGTAAACACCTTGCGCGTTGTGTGAATACAAATTGACTCAGCCCCAAATGAGTACCTGGTGCGGTGTGTAAACATCGCCACTAGAGAGACAAAGGCGGCCGGGCGTGGTGCTGCCCACCCACCCCGTCGAGTTCCGCGCCCACCTGGATAGGTGTTACCTGCGAACAGCACTTGCCCCAACAGTCTGCCAAGGCTGTGCACGTGGGGAGGGTGATCTTTACAGACAAATATGCGAAGAGAACAGAGCCTACCTTGAGCATTCTGATTTCGCGCATGGCTATTTTCTTGATCACCGGGTCGTCTTCCGACTCGACGAACATCTTGACGGCCACGATCTTCCCGCTGTCCCGGCTCCGGCACTTGAACACCACCCCGTACGAGCCCTCGCCGATCTTGCGCAATTTCTCATACTTGTCCGTCATCTCACCTCTCCGCTGTTGCGAGGCTTGTTACGTCTGCCTACCTATGGAGAGACTATCGCTGCGGTGTATGTCGAGAGAGGGGTGCGTACGGTGCCACAAGGCTGCGTCGCCTTTTACGCACGCCGAGGAAGGGATGGTCGCTGTCGTCTCGCCCAAGTGGCACGTCGCTGATGCGACACGCGATGGTCGATGGTGGTCGTCCACCGCCGTGGCTGGCTGCCAAATTGTAGTTGACAAGAGCAGCGCTGCTTTGAAGCCGACGCGGCGCGAAGGGCACGCACGCCACGAGTCGTGGCTGCGATCGTTCAGGCTGGAGACAGCCCAGCGGAGTGCTTCCCCTTTGCAGCCTTCAGCTGAAAGAGAGCGAAGCGGGGCTCGCCACAGCAACCGCCCGAGTCACGCACCGCCCTTACTTGTCGTTGCTGTTGCTAAATAACTTAGTTAATGGCAATGACACCATTAATTCAGTCCTCGTTAAGATAGCCTCTCGTCATGCCTCGTCTACGGGCAATGACGGAGCCACGTGCAATGATAAGCACGGCGGCGGTGCAGGCGTTCTTCTTAGCGGCTATGCTGAGACACACGTGCGAGTGAGACACGTGCGAGTGAGAGAGAGCGAGGGCTGACAGATACGCGAGCCGGGAGAGTGTGTGCAATGTCCCTCGTGGAGGCGACTTTGTTGGATTGCCGCACGCTAACAACGGGGCCCATTAGCGGGTCAAACGTGGCCCCTTTGTTCTGCTCAGCGGCTGACAAACTTCAAACGCCTCCCGTCCCGGTGAAATATCTCCCCGAGCGAAGCCGCCCTCTCGTGGCCGTGCCACCAATGGTGAAGCGAGGTCCCCCCCACAACACCACCCACCGCTGCGGGAGAGGGGTGGTGGTGGGTGGGCGGTGTGCCCGGACAATTACGGGGAAAACCTAGTGGATTCTCACGCCCAACCATTTGGGTAAACGGCGAGTCGTTCTTATATTCCCGAAGTAAAATGTGTTCACGTGAGGAATGTGTTCACGTGGGTTTGTGCTGTTGTTGTTGTCCTGTTGCTCACGTTCGTCATTGTAGAAAGTAAAGACAGGTAAAGGCGCAGCCATGCAAGTGCTTGTTCGCAGTAATTGATGGTTGAAGGGTCTCAACTAAAGTGGCGGGGTTTCGAGAGCCCATCGAGAGTGAATGTGGCCTCCTCTTCCACGTTGGCCACTGGAAGAGGTGTAAAGTTCTGTACCCCCACTTTACCGATGACCTGCACACTGCTCGCTGGCCGGAGGCGAGGGGCTTTAATAAAACGTGCCCATCGTTTCGACTGGCGGCTCGGGAGATCGAACCCGCTCCGCATTGCAAGTTCATTTCGCTCGCCGTCACGCAGCAGCAGCAGCATCCCCAGGGCGTGATGTTTTGCTGGAGTGAGTTTCGAAAGTGCTGTCAAATCACTGCTGGACTAGGTGCTGCTTTGGCTATACTTCACCACTCTGGTCAGCGCGAGTTCGTGAAGGAGGCACGGGGGGGGGGGGGGGGACATCCAGCACCGGTTTAGATGTCGCTCGCCACTGATGTTAACCGCGGCCGCGAATCGAACTCGTGTCGCCGGCCTGAGAGCGGAGTGTCGTAATTGTCTGTAACCCGTGGAGGTGTGGAAATGCCACACAAAATATGTGAATGTAATTACTTGTGTCTTTCGGGAAAGTCACGTAGAAAATAAAACCAAATAATAAAATAATACGACGTTTCGATTGCAACGCTTAATCCAAAGAATGACAACAAAAAAGCAGCGTGGTCAGCCTGGAGGGGTGTTGGCTGTTGTGTTGTCCGGCTCTCTGCGTTGTGTCGCATTGTGTTTCTAAGTTTACTGTTGTTTTTTTTTTCTCATTTATTCTTACCTGATGACGGTTGCTTGTGTTGCAATCGAAACGTCGTATTCTATTATTTTATTTTCTACGTGACTTTACCGAAAGAACCAAAGAGTAATTCCTGCAGTCACGAAAGCTCCGAATCACGTAGATAGGTAGAAATTATTAAGAATTAAAAAAACTACGACGCTTCGATCACAACATAAGCGATCATCATCAGGAGGATCGCTTGTGTTGTGATCGAAACGTCGTAGTTTTTTGTTTATTTTATTTTAATTAATTTGAACCTATCTACGTGACTTTATCGAAAGACCCAAAGAATATGAATTCCTGCAGTCACGAAAGCTTTAAGTCAAGATTTATGTTAATGTACATCACATATTTCTGGATCATAATACAAGGTGCTGTTAGCGAGCACCCATTAAGGCCGGAGCAGCACACGAGGAGGTGGATGGGCCATCATTACGCCCGACTGCCTTTGTCTCCCCACTACCGATGTTTACGCATCCGACCAGATACTCAATTCAGGCTGAGTCGATCTAGGGGAGGCCCAGGATCGGTTAAAATTTTCATCACTGTTATAGGTCGCGAGCATGTGTTGATCCAAAAAACATTTTTTTGGGGGGTTAGATCAAGTAAATATATAAATGTTGTGTCGTTGAACCCGCCACCACCCAACACAGCCAATTAGTAAGAGGTTTGTCACGTAAACAGAACGTGGCCAATTCGTTACTAGTACAGCACAACGGTGTGTTGGAGAGCAAAGCCACAACATTTACCATCTGAGTACGACGTTTCGCCAGTACATTTGAACTAGCTTCATCATGCAATTACTGGCGAAACGTCGTATTCAGATTCTAAATGTCGTTGCTTTGCTCTCCAACACACCGGTGTGCAGTACGAGTAACGAATTGGCATGCTACAGTGAGGGAAAAAAAGTATTTGATCCCCTGCTGATTTTGTACGTTTGCCCACTGGCAAAGAAATGATCAGTCTATAATTTTAAGGGTAGGTTTATTTGAACAGTGAGAGACAGAATAACAACAAAAAGATCCAGAAAAACGCACCGGTCTCTTTCACCGCGTACAAGGAAAATAACACTTTGGTCCATCAGCTTACGGAGCCTCCAGGATTAATGTTTGAAGGCATTTGAGCAGGACAACTGTGTGCCGGTTTCGACTTTTTGAGTCTCATCAGCAGGGCTGTGGCCTGTTGAACGGTGAACTGCCGATTTTGATTGTCAGAACTAATCGGCATCGCCACGAACACCGTGGCGCCCAGCTAAGTGCAGCAACAGCACAGCAATTCGCAGTGTTCGATAAACAACAATCGTCACCACCACCACCACCATCCATAATAATCCGTCAATAACAGTGGCCTTAGGAATAAATATAGTGACGTTTCGGATGATGACCCTTCTTCACAGCACATCAGTGAAGGAACATTGCCCGAATGTGCTATGATGAACGGGCGAAACCCCACCTATTGTATATTGTTTTCCCCATTCTAAGGCCACAGTGTTATTTGACAAATGCGTTGTTTTTAGCTAAACCATTGGCGGCCGCCTGGAATCGAACCCAGGGACGCCAGCTCAGCGCTCTGACCTCTGGAGAAAACAAGGTCACCTAAAAACGACGTTGTTTATGTCTCGTCGCAAACGCGTTATGGCTACCTCGCTCTTGCACGTGTGCGCGCATGGCAGCATGTGTCTCGGTGTTTGCGCACACACACACACACGCATGCGCGCGTGTGTGTGTTTTTGAACGCGTGCTTTGCATCGTAACAAAGGCGTGCGAACATCACGCGCACACCGCCCTAAAAGAGCTCTGTACACAGACATTGTTCAACGCACGTTGAGCAGCTGGGATAAATATGAATACGCATGACAAAGCAGTTAGCACAACAACACCAGCCGTTTTATTAGACAAAGTGACACGGTTCGGCTATTTCAAGGCTATGCACAATAGCTCAAGTCTGATATTCCTGCAGTCGGGGGCAGACTTCAGTTTGCAACAACATATGCGCAACAATTCATAAACCTGCATTCCATACGAACTGTAGCATTTGTATAACGCAAGCATCGGAGAGAAACGATGGAACTGTTTGGCGAAGGGAGGTGAGTTTGAGAGAGGGACCACGATCGCAGGTTCAGAGACACGTGGCGCAATGTGCATCCACTGGTGGAGTCGACTATTGACCGTACCGTGAAGGGTAGAACGCTTTATCCATCGATCACAGCAGTGCGGTGCAGCATATGAGTGGGTTGTGGCCGCGAAACCACTCCCGGCCACCCTTGCCTCCCCAAGGTTTATTGTAATTCCCGCACTGCACTAGACACGTTTTAAAGCAGAGTCGCCCCAAGGGAGACCCAGGACCGTGTCGGAACATCAGCGATGTCTGCAGCTGTCCTGCTCTCGGTCGATTTGTAAATTGCCGGTTGCCAAAGATGCACAGCAGTCCATCGTGCAGCTGTGGCAGCCTTAGTAGCTTCTCACTTTGACCGAAAAGTCTGTGCAACTACGGAATACGGAGGCTACTTTGTGCACATCAACACTTGCATATTAATTCAAGCGTCCGGGGGTTCCAAAACTCACCTCGGGCACTTGATAATAATCAATTACGAATGATCACAAGCAAAATAAATAACTATCCCATTGGCAGCGTTGGCCACCATGAGTGAATGGCCGCAGAACAGTCATTGCAATTCCTACATAAATATCTGACAGCTTTTCTTCAACCATTTTCTTACGTTTACCCAATTTCAAAGATATCATTTCACCGCTTATGTATACATTTAACAACACAAATTGTAAAACAAAAGATGACGCAATTTTTTGCTCAATTAATATTTTGAAACGCTCTACCTGCTGAGTAAACTGTACAGGAACGGTATTAAGACATTCTGAAGTGCCCTGTGTCATTGTATTGATTGTATAAATGATATTGCAGTAATTGGGCTGCATAACAAGAATGTAACTTCCTATTTTCTACGTATTAATGTATAATACATTATTTTTGTTGTTGCTTTTGAATCAAGATTGTTTTGAGTGAGCTAATAAGGAGATTCACGTGGGGTGGTGTAAACCGTGGACACTCCACACTTTCTTCCAAGAAGTCTGGGCTGCGTGGCAAAGTGTGAAGAGAAGTACACGCATATCCTCTCTCGAGGGGCTTGTCTGGAGCTCCCTCTACTCAAGGTCATTCTGACAGCAGTGGCGTGAGCAAGAAACTGCAGGGGCTGCACCTTTGCCACCACCTTTTGCATCGATTTGATATTTTACTATTCACGTAATATTTTCCCTCTATCATTTTTGTAGGTTTGGCTCTAAGCATTGCCCGCACACAAAACAAAGCACTGCGTGTACATTCTTTGCATGGGCGGGAAGGATCCAGCCTCCCCGTGCCTCTACACTATTTGAAAAATTGGGAAATGATGAATATATGGACACGTGGACAACTGAGGCATAAATCCCGAGCATTCCCCATCCGTGCGCACAGTGAGGCAACGTACGCATAGTGGCCCCATTATACCTGCGCCGCTGTATTTTAAAATAGCACTGCCATCACTCATCATCACCAATTCACAAAACCGCCGCTCGCAGCCGCATACAAAGCAGGCTGGGGCTAAAACGAGAAAAGGTTACGCGGATTTGAGTCCCATTCTTCGGCAGACAAAGCAGCGTTGCTTGCCCGGCCTCTGTAGGAAAAGGTGGGCCCTACACCTGCACAGGACTTACACAGAGAGAGTGGCACTGCTTACATTTACAACGAGCCGTCTTTGCAGTAGTTCTCCCAAACATGGCTTTTAGCTGAAGGTAATCTCTGTCACAAACAGTTCAGGATTTCCCAAACTTCAATCCTCGGAACCCGCCACGGTACGACACTCCGCCCGTTGATGTCTTGTCCGTTCAACTAAAGCAAGGCTTCAAATTCGGTAAACAAAAAAAACCTCGATATTTAAAGTCGCAATGCACGTGGTGAATCCAAGACGGTGGGGTCACAAAGCAATCATTAAAGAGCCGCGGCTTGCCGACCCCTGAACTAGAACGTCGTTACTCACCACACGCGCCCGATGATTGCGAAACCTTCCCCCCGCGGTGTAGAGAATTCCAATGGAAATTAAAGCGGAGACCCAACCAAGTTCGCTTCATGCTCATGGCCAACACCGGTGACGATTATCTGCAACAGTCCTGGGCCTCTCCGATGTTAACTCAGCCTCAAATGAGTACAGGACCTGCGTGAGGCTGACCACCCACTCCCTGGCGTGCCGTACCGGTCTTCATAGGTGCTCGCGAACAGCACTTGCCAACAAATCTGTTGGCAGAGAGCTATACGGGGATTTTTTGTTATTGTTTTGTTGTCCCACGTGACAGCATTTGAATCAGTGCTTTAACTTGTGCGTGTGTGTGTTTGTACGCGTCCCACATCACACAGAGCACTGATGAAAACTGCCAGGGAGAGATCTTGCGTTGGTACACGTGTGTCCTGCGTGATATGGGGCGTCGCTCGCGGGTTTTGCTTTACACCTTGCCTACACGCGTAGACCACGCGACAAACAAACACGTCGAGACATCTCGTGCGCCTCATCCGCGGCGTTCCGGATCACTCCATCCCAACGTGCTTCCTACGCCACGGGACGCGTTCTACGAACAGCCAGCCTCGTGCAGCGTGTGACAACACAAAGTTTAGGATTTTGAACGGGAGGTTGTGGTTGGCACAGAATGTGAAAGGTGTAGGGCACCGTACGTGGTGGGTCGCAAGGTTTGGCGTTTGGGGAAACAGCCTGCTTGCTGTAGGTTAGACGAGTGGTGGTGTGAACACGTCCTATACAAAAAAGTGTTTTCAGACATCACCATGTCCACTCACCCAGTAAAACAGACAAACCACGAAGCACAAACGACAACATGCATGTACAGGGTGCTTTCAAAGTGTTTAACATTTATATGGAACTATAGTTTTTAATGGAAAAAGAACGGATAATAATACACTGTAACATTATAACAAATGTAATGTTAATAGCTTCAAAAAGTAAAAATAGTCTCCACTTGTTCGCCATCGTTGTCAACACGTGGCCTGGAATCTTCTCCAGGTGTCCTCCAGAGCCCGGGGGAGGCGGCACATGTCACGTGGTGTTGTTGCAAATTCTCGGAAGTGTTAACATTTTTTTGAAGCACCCTGTACTGACTTTTTAATTCGCAACGCATAACCTTTGACAAAACCATACGGATTGTGCCAGATATCAATAAGATCTCAAAGCCAAGCAGAGTTGAGCCTGGATAATGCTTGGATGGGCGAACACCATGTAACAGGTGTTATAGGCGACTGCGGAGCCACATGAGGGCAGTGCAGCCATTGTTGTGTACTCCGATGCTCGAGGGTATATGACTCCCATCTTCACCAACCCACACTGACCACAGTGGTGAAGTATGGTCAATTAAGCACCGCACGACCCACATGGCGTGGAGATGGCTACATCCAGCAGTGGATTGTACACAAATCACCAACAGCCCCACCTATAGACTAAACGAGTCAGGCGATCTGCAAACATTATACCAACATCAACTATTCCTACAATGTGGGGCATTGGCTGGCGAATGGTTACATCTGCTTCGGCCGGCATGCATATTTCTCCGACTGTCGCTGCTGAGAAATAAAATTTTCCACACAGTGGAACATTTTAAGTACAGAATGTGTACACCATATTCTTGTTTTTTTCGGTAAAGTCACGTAGATATAAAATATAAAATAATAAGACCGCTTGTGTTGCGATCGAAACGTCGTGGGTTTTTTTGCTTTTATTCTAATTTTATTATTTTTATTTTCTATCTGCGTGACTTTACCGAAAGAACCAAGAATATGAATTCCTGCAGTCACGAAAGTTAAGTAAAAATGTAATGTGTACACCGTTTGTACAATGCTGCGTGGCATTTGTCGCAAAAAAAACTTTGCAATATTAAGTGAAGACCAAGAAAGCAATTTGTAATTCTTTATTCATACCATTATATACACATACAAAAGTTAGCATCATTTATTTAAGAGACGCAAGGTTTTATACCTCTATAGGAATACAAAAGGCAGGGTTTTTTTTCAAATCCTTGGGCAAAACAAACCTCTTATTTCATTTAAAAAAATCGATACGTGCTTTACAAGTTGCTTTGTGGGAGCAAGTAGCCGTGTGATATTGGGAAACACGTGAAGTGAACATACATGATAAAACAAAATTGATACCTTTAAAAACTGCTCAAGAGTAAAAGCTGAAGGCATTGTGATGAGACCATTTAACAAATCCACTAGCACCCTAGCGGCCCTGCCGATTCAATCAATTCTCACGATTTCGAGTCGCGATTTGATTCAATAACCGGGTGTTTTTTTTTACATCACGGTCAATGTAGCGGCTGTATGTCACGTGACCCCCGTTACGTACAACGTATATACAAACCAAGGAACATTTAATCTTACACACGCGATTCGATGCACGTTTCTTGAGTTTAAAGAACTGATATTAGTCCCACCCACCCGTAAGATACAAGTGAAGCTTGCTATTGAAGCAGTGCAGAAAGACAGCCGAACGCAATGCAGTAGAAGCTCTCTTGCCAGGAAGCAGAGATAGACATTTAACAGCCGTTGTCTCGAATGGTCCCTGACACCGCATGTATATATTGTTATAAAAGGCGGTGTAAAGTGTTACACGAGTCACAGTATATCGCCTTAATAGGACAGCAGAATAATGACAAAGATAACGATTTACAGACGAATAAAAATGAACAAAAGCGTAGGAGAGCTGCAGCCGTTTCGCTCAGTAAAATCAGTCTGGGCAAATGCTCGTAAGTAACACATCATGGGAATCTTAAACGTAACACCAAGTTTAATATACAACGCATGTTAAACGGCCACAATTCAAAGCACCCCACCATTGCACGGACACAATAAACGTCAAGCATAACATTACACACATTAGTGTAGAAAAGTTGGCAAACATAACTAAATATCTAAAATTTACTTTCTATTGTTATTACTCTCCTTTAGCAAAAAAAAGATAAAAATATACGCAGTTGAAAGCACGTAGTATTTACAGTTCCGAAACTACGTTGAGACGTACACACGAAACATTACATTGCGCTTTTCACGTGGGAATCTTAAGACATGCATCGCACCTGAAGTGCAGCGATGGAAGGCGCTACACTCCTGCACAGTTCTCTGAGAGACCCACATCCGAATCGGGTTGTCCAACTACGCGCATTTCAAAGCACAAGCCAAATGATGCACAAATAGCACACTACACACGGGCACATTCATAAATAATACAAACTCTCACGAAGCTCTGGTTTATATCTCACGTAGACTCCCAAATTGGGAACAAATTAAGGCGTGCGTATGCCGTCTAGTTTGGTGTTGTTCTGTTTTAACACTGGTTTATGACACTGATGCAGCTCATTTAAATATGGGGTTATGCCCAAGGCAAATGCACAGCTGCTGATGATCTCCTTAAGTCAGCACTTCGGGACATGAGTTGTGGGGCACGAGTCGCCGAATTCTGACTGCACCCATCAACAAAAAGGCACGAGCAGGAGGCCTCTTTCCCGTGAAAATGGTTAAAGGTCGGAGGTCAGAGTCAGAGGTTTAAATATTACATTCTGTGGTGCCATCAATGACAATGATCAATACACATTGACGATGGCATGGCCACAGTATCAGTTAGAAGAACCGAGTCCACTTACAAATGTATCAAAGTGTTTTCCCACAACATAATTTGCACTTTAATTTAAATGACCCAAAAAGCAATGCGTCGCTAAACCCCAGGTTACCAGTTTATTCAGATTTGTCCAAGCTATAAGTAGACTTCGTTAAAAAAAGCAGTGGCACATCAATCAAACCTTTCCACAGTGAATAGCAATCCGTTTGCGCGTTGAGTAAGAAATACAAATCGACTTCAACCATCACCGGTCATTTTCAATGAGGTTCTCAAATTAAACAATCGAACTGAAAACGTGTTGCTCGCCGATCAATTTTAACCGAGCCTGGCACAACCTGTTTATTCAAGCCACGTGTTTTTATTCCCCTGCACGCCGTTTCAAAGTATCTACGGACAGAGTAGCGGGTTTCATTTCTGGACAATGGGCAGCAATCAAATAGAGGGCACAGATTTGACAAGTGATGTGCGTTGTTTCACTGCTCACAGCAAGTCGGCAAACTTGAAACGGAGACTTTAAAACGGCATGGGGTAGCTCAGCGTCACGGCATCACACCCACGTCTGTCTGTGCACCAACAGGCCACCAGAAGGCCCAGGGTGTGTAGGTGGACGCGCACCTACGCACACTCACACCTTCTACAAATTGTACCACTTGTAACTGGGAGTGTACGGACGTAGGTATCTTTACATCTTCGTGCAGAAAGGGTTTCACGATTTCAAAAAAAAAACATCGCTTAGCTTTCGCCAATCTAAAGGCACAAGATTGAAACGCTTAAGTGCGCATACGATAAAATAGGTTTTCAATTGCAACTTCTTACCGGGGTTTTAGAATGAAAGCCCTCGGCAGAGGTGGCACCTGTGACAGGTGGTTCCGCCCAAATAATTCGCCGACGGCAATTGCAGTGCAAAGAACGACATCCGCCCCCGTAGAAAATTTGCACATCAATGCCAACGGCGCGCATTAACGGCTTGAATCATAACTATGGAGAGGGAGTCTAAAAAAAACACAGCTCAAGGACGCATTTAATGGGGCTGGGCTTACATTTGTAAAGTGCCAAGGTCGTAGCGGAACATCCAGATTGATTAAATAACCGGTAGAGTCCTTACGTGGGAGACCAAGCTTTAAAGGAAACAAACACATTTGAATTGCGGTTAGTATAAACATTTTAAGCGTTACTTTTTTACATATGTAGGCTAAATGTGTCTAAAAATATCAGATATTACATTCTCGTTTTCATCTTTAACTTATCTAAATTCTATGAACACAGAACGCCGCTACGTTTCAACGAGATGAACCTTTTAAGAAGCAAAGCTCCTTGCCAGAGTAGAGTGCACAAGTTCACCAAAATTGAGGCAGCGGTGTAACTCAAACACGGGAGTGCGACGGCTTTGGTGTGGTAGGAAACACTTAAAGCCCTTAACAGTTTCAGTCAAAATGCTGGGAATTCATGTCCGATTACAGAGACCACTTGTCAGTGGAATGTTTTAGTGTCATGCGTTAATTAAACGTGCCTTACCACGGAAATCACTCGGCAGTTGAATAGTTTGCGTCCACGTATAAAAATGGAGCTTTAAAACTCGAGCGTGGCACATATTGTAAAGCGGAATACATCGCAAACATTTTCCACAAGGTGTGAAAAGAAATGCAGCCGACTCTGTAGGCTCAGATGGGACACAGCGCACACATGATTCTGTACCGGTATTAGAAATCTCTGCAGGGTACAATGAAAATCAAACCTCACATCTTTGAGATTGTGTGTCCATGAATGACAGAAACGGTCACGTTGACCCAAACATCATCTCCAAGCAGATATATGTTTTAAAACCAAGATGCACCAAAGATAGTAAAACATTTGGACACCCCAGCTGGAGCCTTTGCCGATGGAAATCCGAAGAATCATCAACCTCTTGTACCTATACGAAATGGCTGTGTTTTACATGTAGGAAACAATCAATGATGTCAACGTCATTACAAAAACATCGTTATTATAATTACTACTACTGTATACAGTATTCCCTTTGTTTAAACAGTTTCCCACACCTACTTAAAAACAGGAAGCATTTTTTTAGGGAGTCGGTGCTTCTGCACATTTCTACAAAAGCCACTGAAATAATGAATGGCTCGAGGGGCAGGATAGGAGGCTTCAACCCGGCCCAGAAGTCTGGAGGCGCATTCCAGAGGTGTCCCCACGGAGTGTCAGGCAGCCCGGCAAGCAGTGAAGAGTCGCGAGTGCCTTGCTCAGTAGGAGCTCTCGTGCCCCGCCAATGTGTAGAGGTTACTGTGCGCCGTCGGATGATCTGTAGGCCTGCTCTCCAGCACGACCACTCTGCAACAGAGAATGTATGCACGTACGTTGAACTTTTTTCGCAACGTACCTAGCCAACCATGCTAATTGGAGGTGCGGGGGGGGGGGGACAACAGAATAGCGTGCGCACGGCAGTGATTTGGGCAGTGAAAAAGCATGATAGGAAGTCACAGCCTGCTTTGCGCGTCGAGATGACTTGACATGTGATGCGGACAAATACATACAGCCTTTCGTCAATCCACCACGGAATCATGCGGGCCTCCCTACACAACCGTACGGTGCAGATCATCGGGGTCATTTTTCACCATACTTCACAACACTGATCAATTTTGGGTTCGTGAAGGTGGGGAGCATATAAGTGTTGTAAGTAAAGTACAACAATTAATTTTGCTAAACTGCCCTCTGCTGCAGCAGCCTATAACATGCTGCGTATAGTGTAACTCATCCCAAGCACTATCCCGGCTTAACCCTTAGCTAGACAGAAACTGATATAGCATAGATTATGCAGAAGCCTGTGATAGTCACCAGTTCGGGAAAGCTGGATCGAACAACATGCCAATTGTGAACTGGTGTCATTCTTATTGGACTCATTAGCACACTATAGCCACAATATCCTACATAAACGCCAATCATATTGTTTTCATTTTTGTACATACAGAAGTGCCATGGCAGGGCTACTACTACTACTTGTAAATGTATCCATGTGTACAAAGCCACTTGTAAAAAATTATTACGTGGCACCTTGATAGATTAATAATGGATAATAAATAGCAAAGGCAGTGTCAACACGAAATAAAAAAAACATGAACATTAAGGAGGTTGAAGGGAAACAATAAAATAATAAAATATATATAAAACAATAAAAATTCTCACGACGTTTCGACCATAACACAAACGGTCATCATCAGGTGTGAAAACCCAACGGCAAGAAACATTTGAAAGAAGTGGCGGTTTGCATTTATTTTTAAAACTATGTATTTATTTATTTAAAAAATACGTTAGCACCACGGGCAGCGATTTGGCGGTTTATTTAGAAGGACGAGTCCATCTATGTTCTGAAAAGAGGAGGGGGGAGACGAAAAATTAATGTATGCTGTCTGAAAGCCACCGTAAGCGTGGCTTTCCAATCAAATCCTTCCATCTGGCTACCATGAGAGATTCGTTCATGAGGCTATCCACATATACAAGCACAGAGACAATTTCAACCGAGAAGATGGATTCTGGCTTAGCAATCATTGGAAGGATTTGATAAACCATTTCAGGTCTTAATTGATTGTTCACGCTTCCGGTGGCTTTCAGACAGCAAACATTAATTTTTCGTCTCCCCCCTCCTCTTTTCATAACATAGATGGACTAGTCCTTCTAAATAAACTGCCAAATCGCTGCCCGTGGCGCTAACGTTTATTTAAATAAATAAATGCACCGTTTTCAAAATAAATGCAAACCGCCACTTCTTTCAAATGTTTCTTGCCATTGGTTTTTCACACCTGATGATGACCGTTTGTGTTATGGTCGAAACGTCGTGAGAATTTGTATTGTTTTATATATATTTTATTATTTTATTGTTTCCCTTCAACGTGACTTTACCGAAAGAGCTAAGAATATGAATTACTGCAGTCACGAAAGCTTTAAATCAAAAATTAAAGAGGTTGGTCAATGCACATTCTGAACAATTTTTATCCAGAATATTTTTTGTTATTTATACATTTTTAACAAACCCATTGAGATAAGTCAATTCCAGTCAAACACGGTCCTACTTAAAACAAATACTGCTGAAAAACAATTGGTCAAGATGGCTTATTGGCTGATGAAGTTACATGGGATTTTCATTTCATACTTTGGGGGAAGAACAGACTCCATGTCCAAATATTACTTGTTAACTAAAACTAAACCATGGATATATGAAGCAATGTGGCAGATAAAGCTAGATTATAATCATCCGTTTTGATTAGGATGGTAATACAATCCAATGTGTCTTGTCAATACCAACAGGTCAGGTAATTGTAAAACAGCCCTCATTCTCTTCTCCTACTTTCCCCGTCGTTTCCTTCAATTCACGCAAGATTTTCCTCTTCCTACCATCTTGCTCTTTTCCATTCTTTCCTTTCAACAATTCCTCTCATCAAGCCTCTTGGCTCATACGATTTTTTTTAAGCAAATGAAAAAAAATATTCAGTAAACTTTGACGGCCAGCCAAGGGACAGGTGCAAGCAATAGAGGTTCCGGCACAATCAAAAAGTTACCGGTTGAGTATATTTTCAGACAACTTTCCCACTGGAGGCAGGTCAACAGCATACCATGGCGACCCAGATTGCAACAACCTCCACCTTGATCAATCTCAAGAGCGCAATATATATTTCTCCGCAAAAGCATCTGCAAATGGGGACCAGTCCCCTCTCGAAAGCCACAATGCATTCTGCTCCTCAATGGGAGCAGAATGCTTTTCAAAAGGTGTACTCTGCAGAAATGCCCTTCACAACAATGCCATCAATCAAACCTGGTCCAAACCAAACAAGTGCAGGCTTTGCTGCGAGAAAACAAAGCCGTTTTCTTCAGCTCGCCCCGTGCACCAAGGACTCCGGGACACTCACGCTCGCACGCCTGGGCGGACATGAACATCAACGGGCGACGAGTGTGCCGTCATTCGTCAACCACGCTAGCGCCCGTCCGGCCTGTAATAACACATGGGCGTGTGTTGGAGTGGCGCTGGGAGTGGGCAGAGCCTGTGAGTGGGATCCGTAACTTGTGCTTTAATGAGTTTTGGGCCACAGCGCCAGAAAAGGTTAATGTTAAACAATGTTTTTATTAAAATAAACAGCACACACACTGCAGGACATCCCTGCAATGAGCTTCGACAAGGATTCACCATCACCACCGTTGTAGTCGGCCATTGTCTATCCACTGCTGGATGAAGGCCTCCCTATATCGTCGCAATCCCTTAATGGTCCTGCCATTCTACTACCTAGGCACGTAATCATTAATTGATTAAAATCTATTCTCGCACTCATGACACACACACACACACGTGTCAAATTGTGAGCGTGGCAATTTATTCGTCACAATCTATGTAAGTTAAGATGAAAATTATGACTTGCATTTTAGGATAATTTGGTTGAACAAAGCTGTGCAGCTAAAATAAAAAACCAAACCAATGCAAATATGATGGCAAAGCAAATAAAAAAGGAATCACTTCTTGAATGAAATCACAATCCCGAATCACACCTTTTCAGCGCATCACGGGGTGAACTGTTACGTGCCTACAAGATTCCACGTGATTAGTACCACGCATTAACTGACCTAACAAAGAAAAACTGTATTTCGGCATTTCTACAAATCCAGTAAACATTTCCAAGTCATTCTAAGACAACTTAAGAGATGGCATTTCAAAAGGTAAGTTTGCATACTTTTAGAAAAAAAAGGCTTTTTTGTGGCATAATCTGGTGTTTGGACACGTATATATAAAATGGAATACACTTCCACCATCTCAGCATGGATAAAACAATCAATTCGTCCCAAGTATTTGTCCCTATCATGAAAAGGTGTACAAGTTATTTCTCTCTGCATAAACAGTCAAAATTGCCCAAGTCAAAAAGCCACTTCATACTTAAACCAATCACCCACATATTTAAAGTATCCAACTTGTACGTCCGAAATTGTAGAACTGATCAAACTTCTCCCGTGAAAATTTAAAAACGACTACAACTTTGTTATTTTTAACTAGGTTCACTCAAGAAAAAGAGTAACACCTTGAGTCCGTATGACGTCAAAAATGGACAGAGATAAAAGCCTCCTTTACAAGAGAGTCCTGCTGTTTGTGGTGGTAACGGACTCACGAAGGCTGCAGAATCACCCCACCTCTCAATCACACAGTCCTCACCACCCCTCCTCCTCCCTGTTATGAACAAGTAGCCAGGGGAACACACGCTGCAGTGGCATCGGTAACTATTGGAAAACCAGACTGGAAGCAAGTGCTAGAGCATTTGTCGATATAGGCACACTTGAGTACTGTTGTTAATTGAGGTGTTATTTAAGTGATCGTGGTAAATTGTCAAATCGACCAAATAATATATTATCTAGGATTTAACTCTTTCTCTCCAAATAAGTAGTTTCCCTTTCAAACTAGTGTCTACTCAGACAGCTTCACGCAGCTGGAATGTCTGGTGTTAAAATCCCAGGAACCTTGACACATGAAATATTAACCATAACTTTTCAGGTCAACAATCTTTTGGGAAAGCATAATCACAACTCCACTCCAATTAGGTCCCCAGATTTTTCTACGACAGTGTACATTTTAAGATTTAAGACGTACGTGTTTTCACACAAACGAAAGGGGGCACTTGCATATTAGCTGCGACGCAGTGGCCCTTTCAACCAAATTAGTTGTTGTTGTGGCTCAGGCCTTTTACTTGTGCTAGCAAGCAGCTTGTGCAGCCCACACGCTCGATGCCCAACGCCCAAATGAATCTCAATGCGGACGGTGATTAATGGGTGTGGGACAGAAGGCGCCCATGGACAGTGGTCAATGAGAGTGTGCTGAACCGTGCAACTGTAAGGGTCAGGTGTGTTTGGATAACCGGAGGGGCCCCCAAGCCCCATTCCTAGGCCAACATCCATCCAACTTGGGCAGTGAGGATTTCGGTTTTTTTCCCTTAACAATGTTAGCAGTTCCCCGGGTTGTCTGCCCCCCGCCCCCCATCAACCAGAACGCGTCGGGTACATAGGACTGGTGGATATTTGTGTGCGTTTTTTTGGTCGTGCAACGTTCTGCAGCAGGCCTGTGTTCTTGTGTACAGCAAAAAATCTAAGTATAAAATATATAAGCAATGCCAGCAGTTGTTTTCTTTCTATCAAATTGCATAGTGTGGGGAAGAGATCCAAATTCTACAGATCGAGGAGCTTACAATTGTCACCTCTTTAATCAAGCAGCCGTGAAATGCAGTGTGATGTGTTACTTCACTGAGTAGAAATAACATTAACAAAAAATATACTTTTACTCTTCTACATTTAGAAAAATATTGCTA